ATGTTCGCTAATAATGTGATCATATTAACAGCTACAAACACAGTAACAACTTATATCGTTATATATCTATACACGAAGAGTGAGAAAAGCCCACCTATCGCCCGGTTCACACACCTCCCCGGTCTTTTCCACAGGAGTAGAGGTTTATACCTTGTTTCCTGTTTAGGATTGGGTTTCCGGTTCGTTCTAAAGCGTTCTCATTCTCTTTCACTCCCAATAACCACTTGTGTCTTAGTGGCATTATCGCCTTAGTTGGGGTGAACTTATATATATATATATATATATATATATATATATATATGCTTGTAAGCATACGGATCGCCTATGTCTTGGATGTGTGCATTATTTCTGTCCGACCCTTAATTTCAAGAGAGGATAAATTCTCACACCCACAGCACTTTGACGTGGTGTCATCGTTAACGAGCTTGTCTTGCCAGATCAATTACTGCTGAGTAGTGAGTTCGATCCTCACTAGGGGCTCCTTACTTTCGTCCTTGGGCCACATCTGGACTTAGTGAATCACAATATTCCCCCCTCCCCCACCCAGAAGAATAAGGAAGTACTGGTACACGTGCAACTGTAGACCGCATCGCCGTGAAATTCTGGTGAGAAAAGTCTAGTAGACCCTTACTACTGTAATGAGATCCAATCTCATTGGGTGATCTAAACTGGCTAAACGAAAGTTAGTAAATATCTAGTTATGCTGTAGATATACACACACATCTTTTTGCAATTTTTATCACTCTTATTCGTAGATATTAAATGCGATATCTAAACATAGGGACACTTACACATAATATAAATGAATCCATCCATCCATACATACATACATACACATCATACATACATACGCACCTGTTTCTTTATATGTGAATTCGTATAGATTTTTTAATTACACGCGTAAACATAGACACGGTCATCCATCTGTCTGACGAGTTTATCTATCTATCTATCTATCTATCTATCTATCTATCTATCTATCTATCTATCTGCGTCAGTCTTTTCGTATCTATCTATCTATCTATCTATCTATCTATCTATCTGCGTCAGTCTTTTCGTATCTATCTATTTATCTATCTATCTATCTATCTATCTATCTGCGTCAGTCTTTTCGTATCTATCTATCTATCTATCTATCTATCTATCTATCTATCTATCTATCTATCTATCTATGTATCTTTCTTTTATCTATATCAACTTCGGAAAATCTATTTTCGCTTCACCCTCTTTCTTCGCACATTTCTTTACCTGTTTCACATTATCCGCGAATACAAAATCCGCTCGTCTCTCGTATATATACATTTACAGATTCACTTCGTGTCTATTTTGTTAGTAAGGCTTACAATTTCCTCTCTGCCACGCTCAGTAGGTATAATCCGATAGTGACACGCGCATGCGCGCCCACGCAAACACAAACCATTAAAAAAACTAAAACAAAAAAATATAAATAAAAATAATCCTCCCAAAATAATAAAATGAATATGTTTACCTGAAACGATTGTGTAAGATATGATAGGAAAGTTAAAAAAGTAAGCCTTTCAGACAAAAAAAAATAAAAAAATAAAAAAATACAATAAAAGAACAAAACAATCCAAAAAAAAAAAAAAAAAAAATACAATAAAGAGACTTAAAGAAAGAAATCAAAACGGAACAAAAAGAGTCTGCAAATGCACAACACCATTTTTTTTACTGAATCACAGTTCTAACAGGTGAAACACATCACCCTAAACACGATCACGAACAAAAAGAGTATATATATATATATATATATATATATATATATATATATATATATATATATATATATAGCTTTTTGTAATCTAAACACATACTACAGAAGAGTTTTTTTTTATCAGAACGATGTTTGTAGATTGTAAACAGACAGAATTAGAATTCTTGAATGAAGGATAACAATCCTCTAACCTATGCTGTGTGATCGGTTGTAGTTAAAGGAATTGAGATTGAACTTGTACGAGGAATAGGGAAATTCCCAAGTATCGTAAGGAAAAATTCTTCCAGTCCATTCTTACAAAACTGGATAAGCATCGACCATTTCGGCAGAATTCTTTGAAACTCATCCTTTCCGTAAGAACAGGGCGAATTATAAATTGAATTATCTTAAACATTCTTATTAATTTAAATCAATTGGTTCATCTTTTCCGAACATACATAGTCTATCAGCTCTTTATTCTATCTATCTATCTATCTATCTATCTATCTATCTATCTATAGAATATATAAACAGGTAGAAAAAATTCAGGCACGTGGAGATATCTGACATTTGTGTGTGCGTGTATAAATATATATATTAAAGTAATCTAGTATATAAGATACAATATATTATTATATATATATATATATATATATATATATATATATATATATATATAAAAGTAATCTAATATTTAATATACAATATATAATATATATATATATATATATATATATATATATATATATATATATATATATATATGAGCATATATTTTGTATAAATACATGAATATGTTTAAGTATAAATATAAAAAACGAATTCACATGAAGCATTTAAAGACATATATACATATGTCCATGCAAAAATGACGTATATTGTTGAAAGATATGTAAGAAATATGTATTGAATATATATAATATATATATATATATGACAGGTATGTTTATAACGATATAATACTTAGTGTATTTTATACATGCAGGCGATTTACATATCAGAATTTAATTGTAATTTTCAGATTATAATTTTCTAAAAAGAAATTATAAATTTTTATTACATATTCTTTTTTTTCACATATATATATATATATATATATATATATATATATGTATGTATTTATGTATGTATGTATGTGTGTATAAATATATACATGAACACAGACATGCGGACATATATATTTCTGAGTCAAAGTATAGAAATATGGTTAAATATGTAATATTTATGTTGATATATGTACATTGTACGTGTATTCCTTTCGCTTGTTAAATGATTATCTTCATTTACAAACCAATATTTGAAAAATATACGAAGGAAAAGAAAAAAAATGAATTTTGACAAGATGTACTGATCAATAACGATAGAAAAAAGCAAATAACGTTTTCCTAATAATTGAAATAGTTTCACTTGAATTTGAATTATTACTTAAATGTTGAATGATTAGTTAAAATTTGTTGTTTCGATAAAATTTAAAATATTTGTCAGAATTTGAATAAATAGTTAAAATTAGTATAATTGGTTAAATTTTGAAATATGTTACAATTTGCAATATTAGTCGAAATTTGATTGATTATTTAAAACTTGGATAATTAGTTAAACGCGTAGTTTTAAGTAAAATTTGAATAATTGTTTAAAATTTGAAATATTAATTAAAATTAAATATATTAGATAGAATTTAAAGTTTTGATTTAATAATTAGTTAAAATTTGACATTAATTAAAATTAAAAATATTAGATAAAATTTTAAGTTTTAAATAAATGTTCAAATTTTAGTTAAAATTTAAATAATTCGTTAAACTTTGAATAATTAGTTAAATATTACTTAAAATTTGAAGTTTTACTTTAAGTCGTGCTTAAAACTTAAAGTTTTTTTAAAAATTAAATAATTAGGTAAAATTTGTAGTTTTAGTTGAAACTTAAAATTTGAATAATTAGTTATAGATAATTAATTATAAATAATTAATTATAAATAATTAGTTATAAAAGAAGGGAAGTAAAAGAAGAAAACATAAAAGCTGAAACAATTTAGAAAAAATTATATTGTAAATAAATAACTGAAATCTCATAAAACAAGAAAGTTCAAAGTTAATTTAGAAATAAATAAAATAAAATAGAAAGTTATTATAAATAATAAAAGAAATTAAGGAAAAATAAAATAGAAAGATACTAAAAATAAGAAAAAAAATAAAATAGAAAGTTATAAAAATAATAGAAAAATTAAATGGATAAAAGACTAAGAAAACACGATAAAGACACAAAGCAAACACGACAAATTAAAGACACAAAGCAAACATGACAAATTCTAACAGCAAAAACAAATCGTGCAATGTCTTAGAATAACAAAATCCCATGAAGAAAAAATCCCAATAGATATAAAGACACATTCAAATGGGAGACAAATAGGTTAAAATAAATTCCAAACAGCTGATACTTTTCACAGTAACTTTATATAAGAAAACACGGAAGAAACAATTTACATAACACTAAACTTATAAAAAGAGAAGAAAACAAATATATACATATATTACTTTTCTTCTTAATTGATATATATATATATATATATATATATGTATGTCGAAAATATGGAAAATTTGGCAGCTTAAAAAGAAAAAAAGTATAAGAAAAAAATCTGAGGGAAAGAAAAAAAAATCTATCCAAAACGCCCCCTTCCAAGGGAAAACAAACAAAAATAACAGAAACAAAAGCACAAAATCTGAAAGAAAGTTGGATAAAGAATTGCAACTTTTCAAAATATATAGGTATGAGTGTATGTGTGTAAATATATAATTATATATATATATATATATATATATATATATATATATATATATGCAATTTCGTTTTTGAAAGTTTTCTATGTACAAAGGAGAAGATGATAGTATGAACTAAAGATAAAACATTGTGACATACTTTGAGCAATATTTTGATAATAGATTTTTTATCAAGGAAAAGAAAGGGAAAAAAGTTAGTCTTCTTCCATTAAAAGCATTTCAATAATAAATCCCTTTGAAATCAAACTTCGGGGCCAACCATTTCCTTTTACGAAAACGAAACAAACACAAAACAAACGAAGCACAAAAAAAACAAAAAAGAAAACAAAAAACATTTGTCCAGATGATGCATTGTTGAAAATTAATCCTCTACTTCAATTGAACAATAATTTATTAGAAAAATAAAACCATTTTAATGAACTTTTTTTCTCCAAGAAGAAAAGGAGAGATTTACTAAAGAAATCCTAATTGAAAAAAATAAATATATATAAAAGAATATTTCAAGAAACGTTTCAATTCTAAACAAACTTGCCCATTTATCGAGTTTTTACAGAACCACAATAGTTTCATTATAAAAAGTTCACCATTAAGTGACACCTGAAAAATTCTTATGCAAGCGAATATACATCTGAACAGATTTACTTGCTAAAGAAAAAAACAAAAAACAAAACAAAAACTTAACTTTAAAAAAGACACAGCTTTGAAAATATTCGATTCCTTATGAGAGAAAAAAACTTGCACATATATAGAAACTGAATATTAAAAACATAATCCTACAGAGGATTAATTTCAGGGGAGAATGTTTTTTTTTTAATTATTGGAAAAATCCTACTGTAGGCGGCAAAAACTTGACACCACTTGGAAAAACTCATTTCATGAAAGAGTAATTGCCTTCCCAAATATTGCTCCAATGGAAGCATGATAACCAAACCATTTGTAGCAAGACGGGTATCATGTGATAACCTCCGTTTGATTCGCGATGCAAGAAAACAGCTGATCTGTGAATGTTCAGCTTTTTGAGTTGTGATAAAATTAGAAAAAGACAACAATATTCTTCTTAACAAGTCATTATTTTCAATTCATTATCGAAATACATTTTATTTCCTTTTTTTTCATAATAATAATAATAATACAGTTAAAAAAGGACATTTTTTTCTTTCCTTGTTTATTCGCTTAAAAGTATCACACCCATTATCACTATTTCTTGTTTTTGTGTTAAAAAAAGCCCCACAATTCCTTATGTATCTACTTAAATACATTAACGCAGGGTTTTCATGTTCGTTGTTCGAAATCAGAGAAAACTCCTCAATCAATTATAATTGCTAGCAGGTGAGGTATTTTCAGGCCTCATTCCCAAACCTAGTTTGTTTTTCTTTCATTCAACCATAAAAACAGTAAAATAAATTTAATATACATATATACATACACATAACTAGACAAATATCTACAAATATGGCCAGAGACTGCTTTCCAAAAAGAGTGTTAATTACACTATATAAATCCATTTGCGAAAGACGAGGCTCACTTTGAATTTTCATAACAAAAGGCACACAGATAAAGCAACCAATATTAATGGTAACAAAATACAAATAGCTCAATGGTTGATAACTTGACTGGAGACCAATAGGTTCGCTGTTCAAATTTGGGAATCTACTAAAAAAATGGTTTGAACTTGGACTGAAAAAAAGCCTTGGAACCCCCATTATTTTGTGATTTTGGAATTTACCCTTGAGATAAAAAAAACACACACACACACAGAAAAAAAATGGTGAGATATAAAAACTATGGAATAAAAAAGACAGTAAACCGTAAAAAATATATGAATGGAATAATGTCTTTTGTTTGTGAAGAGAGACAATTTTAATCCGCGAGTGACAAGAGCGGAATTGTCGCCAAAATATTTCGTTCGAGACTTCATGAAAGTGACTGTCAACAACACTAAAGTCATTATGTGAAAAAGGGAGATAATCGAAAAATTTCAAAAACAGGATTTTCATTCGAAAATCATGACGATTAAATGAAAAAAATAACATCAACAACAACAGCAAAATAAGCCAAAAACGAAAATTATCAGTCGAAAAAGTAATTTTATTCCCTTCAAAAACATCCAGAGTTTCAATCTACGTTTGTTCATTCGATTGAAGTTGTTAAAAAATTTCTTCATTGGATTGGACTTTCTGGAAGAAAAAAAAAAATACTTTAAAAAAGGTGGGAACAGAAAAAGAAAAAAAAAACAAAGTTTTATAACACAGTGTTTCCCGCCTTTTTCTGAGTTGTTCGTTGTTTGTCATACGCGTCTTTAACGTCAACTCGAACGCCATCATTAATGCAGAACGACAAGCGGAAGTGAGGGTCGGAAGAAACCGGATGTTGTTATCACCGATGCCCACTTCACCATTGCCGGTGCCGCCGCCGTCGTCACAAAACCGATTAAAATATATATTCTTCCTCGACAAATTTAAACTGTCTATACAAAGTAGACATAAAAATACACATGAAAACGTGTTAGCTTCTGTTCTTCAAATGAAAGAAAATACGCTGACACCCACGTAAAGATATATGCATTAATATTATTGTAGATGTCTATATATCAGTTGATATATTCTGCGAAAGCTGTCGTTATCGACGCCGAAAAAGCCAATAACTTCTTTATTTTTTCTTCAAACATATACACACTCCTGCCTCTAAATTCTATCTTTCTATTCATTACCAGTCATTTCTTAACCGTTAACCATCTCATTTTCTCCGTTTTTCCAGATATCTTTCCAAAGAACAATAAAGAAAACACACTTGTCATCATTACAGCTTTGTTCGCTGACCCTCACGTGTCAAATAAAGTCTGACAGACGCAATGCAAACAGAAGTCTATGCGCATGCGTCCTACCCTCTGTACACAGAGCCGCAGTATACGCTGGCCTTGAAAATAATTTCCTTAGCCCTGATCATCTTTACAGGAATTCTAGGTAACAGTGTTGTCGTCTACACCATCATCAGGGACAAACGCCTACATAGGCCACCGTTTTACTATCTCGTCAGTTTGTCCATGTCCGACCTGGCGCGTTCAGTCTTTTGCCTGCCTTTCGTTTTGACAACTGTTATTCAGGGATATGTATGGGTGTACGGTGAAAACGTCTGCACTTTGTTGGCCTTCACCAACACTTTCTTTATTTACAGTTCGGCCATTACGTTTTTGTTGATCGCTGCCGATCGATATATCGGGGTGGTCAGGACCCGCTTCTATCGGCGCAAATGTGGCGGGCTCATCTCTCTGGCTTTTATCGTTTTCGGTTGGGGCGTTGCCTTCCTCGTCTCTTTCCCACCCATCTTTGGACTGGGCAGTTACACATTTGTGCCAGACGAGGCCCAGTGTACGTATGCTCATAAGCACTACCGGTCTAATGACACTTTGATATTTGTCATGGTTTTCACACTGATGATGGGACTCTCTTTGCTTCTCTATTACCGTATTTTGATATTTCTTCGTAACCATCGTAAAATGCATCCATTCTTTCACCAACCCGCGCGTAGTAACAACTGGACGTTTTTCGGACCAGGCGCCAACGGACAAGCTCTAGTCAACTGGTTGAACGGTTTTACCGGCTTCCGACAAAACCCGTGGTTAAATCCGATAGCTGCAGGTTTCCAGATGCCGCCAAGGCAGCTGGGGAGAACCGTCAACCTGAAGGTGGTAAAAGACGAACACTTAAGCAGACTTTTCTTTCTTGTTAATATCATCTTTGATGGTCTCTGGATCCCGTATCTTGTTCTTTCCTACTGGCAGATATTCGCTACCACAAAGAAATTATCACCAACATTTGTTAGTGTGGCGGCTTGGTGCAGTTATTTGTCTGTAGCTATTAATCCTTTGGTTTATTTATGTTACAGTGGGACCCTTAGAAGGGCATTTCGACCTTCAGTGAACGCTTACTCAAAAAGAGACAGCGTAAGAGAATGATTTATCTAAAAGTCTGAGTGGGAATTTTTTTTTAAAAATTGAGTGCATAGCGAATGTACCCATGTTTCCGGTAGAGCCATAAGTCAGTCCCGATTTTGTTTATCAACATTTTCTTAAAAAAAAAATAAAAACAAAAAAACAAAAAACAAAAAAAAACAAAAACAAAACAAAACAAAAAAATAACAAAGTACAATTAAATTCTATTCAATTATATGTACACCATTATTTGCAATGACGTATTGCCATTTATCAGGCAGATCTTCGATACCTTTTGTGCAAAATTCATTGAATCTCTTTCCGATTAGAGATGGTTTTCTCCACCAAAGGTAATAATTGGCTGGTGCCGGATCGCTAGAATATGGTGGATGGTGTAAATTGGGTCAACCAAGTTTCATTTTCTTCCTGTTAATGTTGCTGTAAACAGCCTTGTGTGGTCATGGAGAAGAACAAGGATTTTCCTTTTATCCATCGTGTACGCTGCCACTGCCGTGCAAAAACTATGGTAGTCAAAAATTTATTCAAGTTAGTATGATACATTCGTAATTAAAATTGGTTCGACAAAACGGAATTTACTTATGACTCAACCTAATATATATATATATATATATATATATATATATATATATATATATATATATATGCGTGTCTGTGTGTGTTTGTGGTTGTTTGTATTTGTGTAAATATGCACATAGAATACACAGATTGCAGTCATACACATGAGAAGGAAAATTCTAGGATAGAAGACGTGAAATTTTGGCATAGAATGACGTATATATATATATATATATATATATATATATATATATATATATAATGTCATATATATATATATATATATATATAATGTCATATATATATATATATATATATATATATGATATTCTATGCCATATATATGTGTGTGTGTATGTGTGATTCTATATATATATATATATATATATATATATATATATATATTTATAAATGTTAAAAACAATTCATTTAAACAAGTTGTATTAAATTCAATCCACAATGTCTGACTGTTTAATTATTTTATTGTATTTTTCCAATTTTCGAATAGTTTGTTGCACATCGGGATAAAACCTTGTTGATAAACTGTCCAAAATTCATGGTTTTGTTCTGTTTTTTTTTTTTCGAATGTCAAGCAATAAACACTGTCATTATCATGGCTTAGATTTTGTTAGCTACATGCTCGCATCTTTAGGAACGTTGTATTTCAAATTTAAATATACATGTATCATATAAGTGACATCATGTGTAGAATGGTTTCACAGAGCTTGACAAGACCGGAAACGTAAATATTGAATATTTTATAAGTATTTTAAATATTTTATACCCATATTAAGTATCTTATACACGTTTTAAAATGTCATTCCATGTAGTGAAAGATATTAAATATAGATTATTTGTTGTTTTTTTTTAGCTGTTTCCATAATTATAGGAAAAGCGTTTCGAGTCGTAACGTTAATTTGTTTTGTTTACTTTTTTAACATTGCTTCAGTATAGTCAAGTTCTTTCTCTATTATTTATTTTAAAAATATTTTTTAACAACAACAATAATAAAAAATGTTCGCATATATTTGATAATAACTTTATACTTGTATTAATTTCTTATTTATTGGTTTCTTTCTGTGATTGTCATTTAAATTATTATTATTATTATTATTAATAATAATAATAATAAGTAGTACATTTGATGACGAACTATTTTTCCGGCATGCAGTTTAAGATATATATTTGTGTTTACGTATGCGTATATATATATATATATATATATATATATATATATATATATATATATATATACACTGAATAACCAAAGGGATACAACTATGGAAGACTCCACGAATTTGTGTGTCAGCCTCTGATGGTCGCTCCTTGTGTTGGAGGAGCTTATGTCCAATGACACTGAGAGCATGTCGCCGGTAGTTCTAAATACCCGGTAGCGCCACTCTTTACGACAAGGTCGAAGTCAAGGACCCAGACGAAGCGGGACCAAATCCAAAGAACCCAACGGTGGAACAAGCGGATGAAGATTACAACAGATCTCAACGTTTGAATCAGCGGATGAAGAGGGCTACGCATAATCGACATGCTACAGAAGGCGCCACTTTAGATTATAACCGAATCAGTGGCAGTCCGTTGCGGTTTCATAACTGAATGTCTCATTCCATATGTGCCGCAGAGAAAGGACATGAACATCGAGTGTGTCGGCCACTTCTTGTCAGATTGAGGTCCACCTGAAATAAATCCACGACATCGGCACTATCGTCTACTCTGACGAAGAACAGCTTCTAGTACTGTGAATCTTTTCCTCGTAGTGAGAGTTGCATACTATTTTAGTATTATCACTTAATACTTGTCTTATGTTAATAGAGATAATTGGGATGTTTATGATTTGACGTTCAATATGTGTAATATCTCTTAATACTTGTCTTATGTTAATAATTGGGATGTTTATGATTTGATGTTCAATATGTGTAATATCTCTTAATACTTGTCTTATGTTAATCGACGTAATTGGGATGTTTATGATTTGATAATCAATATGAGTAATATCTCTTAATACTTATGATATAACGATATATAATTTTGTGTAATTTTATATATCAACAATCAGTATTTAGTATGTATTATATGACAAGAAAGTTTTTTTTTGTGACGCGTTTCATCCATTAGGATTTCATCGGACTGAGCTTTATTGATGTTGCTACGTCTACACATGCGCACGAAACGAGAGACGCTGGTAGTTGGAAAATTTTTGAAAGAATATTTTAGAGAGAATTTCTTTTCTCAGTCTAGCCGAAATCATCTGTATTCTTTTTCTTTTTCTCTCCATCACCTTTGTCCCTGACTATCACACACTGTGACAATATAAAATCTACCAAGAATCGTGATATATTGTAAGAGCCTGGACGCAAATTTATTGTGGTTTTAATAGCGATCAAAGCACTTTCCAGGCATTTTCGTCTGAGTAGATTATATTCTTATATTTATTATTTATGTTGTCACAAAAAATTTGAAACTACCAGCGTCTCTCGTTTCGTGCGCATGTGCAGAAGTGGCAACGTCACTAAGGCCAAGTCCGATGAAATACTTACGGATGAAACGCGTCACAAAAAACCTTTCATGTTTGTTATATATATATATATGAATAAAGACAAAAGTAAAATAAACGAAAATACCGATGTGTTTCGTTTATATGGATGAAACGTATTGATAAAAGAAAATTTTCTCTCTTTAATCAATCTTTCTTACGTATATATATTTTATATTTTTATTATTTTTCTAAATACTTGTTTTATGTTGTAATTGGGAAGTTTGTGATTTGTTGATCAATATGTGTAATTCAATAAAACATATCTTTTAGAATTTGCACAGAGAGATTAAAATACGTAGAAAGTATTTAATATACTCCTTTCCGATATTGCTAGGATATAGCTAATAAATGTGTATCTACAATAATAACAAGTATTAGTTCTTGATAATGACCGAGATAGTCAGAAGTATTCGAAAAAACTAAAAAAAAATAAAATTATAAATGAACTTTGGGCAGTTAATACTTTTTATCCCGATCTACAACAACTTATTCGACAACTGGAAATACACAATTAAAAATTATACAGCCAGACTCTGTCGGCTAAATTCACTACTTGTTTATATATATATATATATATATATATATATATATATATATATATATATATATACACTGAAACAGTTAAATACATATACATAAAAATACATACATAATTAAACACATGCACATATCATTTGTATATAAACAGCCACCCATTTTGCAAAATTACTAAGCGTGAAATAACGCTGCTAATGGTCAAATAAAACAATATATATATATATATATATATATATATATATATATATATAAGTTTTGTTAATGACACAGACAATTAAAAACTACTAAATATTTTTGTTAATATTTCTTATTGAATTAGTTACCGTCTCTGTGTTGAAGGTGTAAACGAATCGTTTACTGCTCGTGTTAGCTCTTTGACTGGCATAATGAAGAAAAAAACATAAGGGATTCAAAATACATGTCGTTGTATACATATTTGTCTGTTGTATATAATAAAACATTTGCTGCCAAAAAAAAAATACCTGGTTGTGTATATAAAAAAACAAACAAACACCTAAATATATACGTATTTACAAACACCCATATATTCATAAAAATGTAAGCAACGGAATTAATACACAGAAAAATCGCATATTACCTTATATGGAGATAAACTTATTTCGACAGACGAAAATATAAGTCGTCTGTCTTATCAACCCCCGGGTTTCATAAAACAGACGACATTTTCAGCCGTCGAAATAAGCTTATTCCCCATATAAGGAAATATGGGATTTTTCTGTGTATTAATTATTTCTCTGTAATAATAAATACATTGTGGATCAGTTTTAATATTTTATATTACTAGGATCCACTTGGATTATATACCAACGGATTTGTTAACTTTAATATATATATATATATATATATATATATATATATATATATATATATATATATATATATATATGAAGAAATATAGTTTTAAGGTGCGCTATATTTATGAGATAAATTGCTCAATATCAGAGATAGAGCGTATGTAAAAGTAAACATTGAAGTCAACACTCAGAGGCGACAGACTGTTTCATGCTAGAACCAATCGTCAGCCGGCATGACGGTTGCGTCTAACATAAAACAACCTGTCGCCTCTGAGTGTTGACTTCAATGTTTACTATATATATATATATATATATATATATATATATATATATATATATATATATGTATACATATGCAACGACACGTACAAATATTGGACACAGGACTTTTGCAAACAATAATTTCTATTATTTCTCCTGATTGAAAACTTGAGCTGCATATAATAAATATTTAGCATATACTAAATACTTAGTAGGTGTATACAAAATATTTAGTATATACAATGTATAAAAATAAATGAAGAAATGTTTACCTACATATATATTCA